TATATCCGTAAACACTTAGAAAAATATGCTGAATAAGTGAATGAAATATTTCTCGATCATTCTTGTTTCACTCGTTCGTCACTTATTCAATTTTATCTTTTCATAGATCCAAAAAGTATCATACGGCCACTATGTGCAATAAAGGAAAGTTGATGGATTGTTAGTACCTTGGTATCACGGCCAGCATTAAGAACGACGAGCGATAGAGTTCCCTTGGTGTTCATAAGGGCGCCGATAGCGAATGCGTCACGTGTAGGCATTTGCATGAATAAAGAGGCGATCACAGTGGTCACGATCTTCACCAAGAAGGAAGAGCAAATGACTAATGTCATCATGAATTTGTCAGTGTACTGGAGCATGAAACCAATATCAGCTCGTAACCCACAAATGATGTAGAAGAGAGGCATGAGGATCCCTGAGAGGAAGTCATGTAGCTTCTCCTCGATCATGTTACGTATGATGTGGTCGTGAGGGATGGATAGACCGAACAAGAATGCCCCGGTTATGGAGTGGACCCCGCATGCGTCTGTGATCAGGCCGCATAGGACCACACCTCCTAAAATGAACCAAACGTGGGTGTCTCCGACTTGACCTGCCTTCATCGTTTTGGCAAAGATCCATGTAATTCCCGGGCGGATCACATAGATGCAAAGGAGAACGAACAGGGCAGTGGTGAGTATCACCCACGGCATCATTTTGTTCCATGTCCCTTTTAAAAGAAAAAAAAATCATCATAATCCTTGCATTACTAAGCATACTTTCGTTATATAATTACTTTTGATTGAGAAAAGCTAGATTAATCAAAGATTAATTCCTTTTTCGACCGGTTATAAGTTTGGATTTCGGGCAATGATCTTCGGTTTTTTAATATTGATTCTAGGGAACTTTACCTGCTTTGCTAAAAGAAGCGAACCCGAAAACGAGGAGGACCCAAGTGCACAAATCAGTGACAATGGCTGCACACATGGCCGTACGGCCCATGTCGGACCGCAACAACTTGAGATCCGCAAGGACTCTAGCGAGGTCAGGGAAGTTGGTACAGGCTAGCGCGATAGACCAAAAGACACAACCGGAGACGATCTTGTCTGGATAGCCATTTCCCGGAAGATAGTAGAGGAAGACACCAACGGGTAAGGCAACTAGAAGTCCCGAAACCGCAATGATGACCGGTTTGAGCTCGGTGATCCGCACCATCCTCAGATCCATCCCTAGACCTAAGAGGAAGATGTTGTAGACAAGAGCTAAGTTTGCGAATGTCTCAAGAACCATTGTGAATCTGTAGGGGAATACATGTTGGATGATAAACTCTGTGTTCCCAAGCACGCTTGGGCTAAACAATAAACCACACTGCAAAAATATAAATCACAAACAAAAGAAAAACACATTAAATTATATCATTGCTAGAAGATCATTATGTAACAAATTTTGCATACGTACGAGAATCTGAGCTACCAAGGGAGGAAGATAAAGTGGTCGGGTTAGGTAGTAAAGGACGCGGTAGCTAAGGTTTGCGACAAAGAGTTGCGTTATGAAGAACGGAAGGGAAGAGGCGAGCGTGCTTCCGCTCTCCCATCCCTTTTGTTCTCTCTTCTCAAAGAGCAGAGATTGATCGTAACACACGATTTTTCCATAACGCGATTCGTCAATCTGGTAGATAGGATTCGTCGAATTATCGGGGAGTCCGGAAGACATTTCCTCCTCCTACGATGGCTGGTCGGAATCCCCCACCCCCCTCCCCAGAAAAACAACGGTACTCTCTGTCGGAACCCAACGTTTTTGTCTAAACCCAAACGTTGGGTTCATATATATCTGTTAACAGCTAATTTGCAACCCTTTTTACATTTTGTTTCAAACGCGCTGGCTAATATTAGTTGTTGTTATTAGGGAGATAATTGACCACTCGTTTTAAAATGGATTATTCTTTTTAAAATGGGCTTATCAGGTTTATGTTTTTTTCTGTTAGTTATTTTCTTAAACGGCTGGTTGAAAATGAACACTTGATTCAACACATTTTTGTCCGAGTTTTTAATTGTGAAACATACTTACAGTTACATATTTGGTATTTTTGGTAACGAATCATCCTAATCTAGTTTAATATTTTGGTACTATGGCTAAAGAAAGTTGACCGCATATCTTAGAACATGAGTATTGGTGATACAATGTGGGTATCATTAAATATAAAATTATTAAAATTTGAGTTAAAGGAAGAAAGAGAGTGTTTTTGGTTAAAATAATGGGGTGTATTGAAATATAAAATTAATAAAATTTGAGTAAAGAGAAGAGATAGTTGATATTTTTGGAGAGAGGGTATCAAATAGTTGATACTTTTGATATTTTTGAAGAGAAAAATAAAGAGTGTATCAAATATTTTTAATAATTTTATATTTAAATAGAGTATAAAATTAATAAAAGTTGAGTAAAAAGATGAAAGAGAATGTATAAAGTTAAATAAAAGGAAGTGAGAGTGTGTTTTTAATATTTGTTTATTCAACTGATACTCTCCTTGTATCAAGGATGATGATGCTCTTAAGTGTTGTTGTTTTAGGCTAAAATCTTTAGTTTGTGAAAAGATGACTGTTTTAGAATACTAATATAATCAATAAGATATATAAAATTGTATATTTGATTTGTTGTTTAATTGATTTGAAAACTGAAAAATGTCCAAGAAACACATGAAAGGAAAAGTGACGAGAATTTTTGTAAATAAATCAACTAGCTAAAAAGTGAATTAGTTATAGATAAAATGTAACTCTTTTCTGTAAGTAATCAAACAAATGTGAAGATAGAGCAAATGTAAATCTTAGCTTATTTATTTAAATTAATTAATTTCAAAATGAAAAGTATAGATGATTTTTCAAAAACATTACATACTATATAGTTACTCTGTTTTATTTAGCAAAAAAAAAAAGTTAGTTAAATATTTAATTGGAGTCAATTTGTTTAATAACAAAAAAAAAATAATAATCAAACACATAGCCAAAAACCCTAAATTTAAAGATTGTGATTGTGCCACATAGAGTAGTTTTGGCTATAAACTTAATTATAATTTTTTTGAGGCAATTACAAAAATGCCACTTTTTATGTGCACATTTACAAGAATGTCACTTAGGGGTGTCCATTTACAAAAATGTCATTAATTATAGATTTA